CAGGCACTCAGGGAGGCTAAGAGGGACCTCACTGCACAAAGAAAACCCATTGGAATATGTTTGATGTTGATAAAAAATGTGAGAATAGCTCATCACCTAGGAGCTCACTCTATTGACAAGTGGAACAGATGACAGCTAGATCCCAGTTTGGATATTAAAATACAAAGCAATACAGCAAAGATCAATGCAGTCTCTCTCATAGAGAAAATGCTTCTGTCTACATCAGAAGCTTTCAAACTTCCCCCAGTTCCTGTGATCATGGCCCAAAAGAAAAGGTCTCTTAGAAAGACCATACTAGACTTTGTACTTTTTTCTCCCCAGGCAACTACTGCAGTCCTCAGGAAAACATGACTCGAAAATGTGATCACAGGTGAAAGAGAGAAGAGTCAATAGAGAAAGGGAGAGAGCAGCACAGCAGGCATCTATTTCAGAGGGCAGAAGTTTATCACCCAGGACAGGCTTTCCACTGGGTTTATCATTGTTTTCTTTGTCTAGAATTAAGGCTATTGAAGAAGAGGTTTCCACTCTGAATTAGCAATGAGTTCCCACTTAATTCAGAGTGCCTCAGCCCTCCTGTGTGATTTGGCTCCAGGGGCCTTGCTGAAAGTTCTCCTGTGAATTTTATGCTGCTGGGTGCTCTGACCTCACGTCTGTTCCCTCAGCCCCACCTTCCCCTCTACCTAGTTTATTCTTGTACCAGAGAACCCCCTGCTTCCCCAGATCGCCAGTCAGAGCTCACAGCTTTGAGAACGACTACGGAAATTACTTTGAGAGGTGTCTCAGCTCGGCAGTTCTCTCAGCTGTTACAATGTGCTGGACGCTTGGTACACACCCCAAAACGCCGCACACCCGGAGCGTGTGGAGCTGTAACCGCTGGAGCTCAGTGTTACGAGGCAGCCAAGGCAGAGAGAGCCTTTCCAGGAGCACAGGGGTGGCACCAGGCACTGCCAAAGCCCTCACACCAGGCTGTCCTTACCGCGGCTCCAGCGGGGCGTCCCGCCTCCATCACTTGGAGTTTCTGGCACCGGGCAAAGCGGACTTAGCCGAGCTGGCTCGGAGCAGCAGGTCGGGAAGGGCTGATGCCAACTGAACCAGAACGTGGGGCCCGAGGGGCCGCCCCTCAGGCAAGGGCGAACCGCGCGCGCCCCCCGGCGGAAAGCGCGGGAAGGCGGCGGGGCGGGGTGGGGTGGGACCGCGTGCCGGCCTGAGCCCGGGAAGTCCTTCCCTGGCCCCGCCCCGCCCCGCGGCGATTGGCTGCGGTGGCGGGGGGCGGCGCGGCCATTGG